GTAGGGCTCACAAACTGTAAGATCGGTCACCCCACCCTCTTGGCTGCATCTCCTCAGTTATCCGTGGAATTTTGGAAACTATTTGATAATTAATTTTGCATTCAAGTTTCAACGTTCTGGTGAAGTACCGCGGACGTAGTAAATGGGATACAAATGGAATTTATTTGCAGGATTGTTTTAGTTCCTTGTAGAGCTTATTAGAAGCGACAAAAAATTAATGAGAAGATGAACATGGGTCTTTTTTGAAATATTATCAATGCAGCTTTTATTGATGTATCACAGGGTGCTCTGGTTAGCGCACGCTGTTCCGCGGCGACAAAAAAATATTCGTTTTTTCTCGTCTTCCCCAAAGCGTAAATTAACCCCTTTCAACTAAAAATCACAAATTTCATGGAAATCCAGCCAATATTCTATTGTTCATGTGCTGTTTGTATCCTTTTGTTTACTCCAAGTAGAACTGGTGGATGATAAATGTCCGACACGGTTGCTAAAACGATGTTGATTAAAGAAGGTTTTTGGATCAGGGTCGTTGTACATTATGGGTCGCTGATACGGCCAAATCCTTCCTGCCCTTCCTTTGACATCGGTTTGCTACCCATCGTTTATACAGGCTTTGGCCATTGTGGACAAATACTATCGGCCATTATTTGTACGTTCAATTCAACTGCTATCGCACTCGCCCAACCGGATTTCCTTCATCCATGATAACTTGATAAACAAAGCAGGAGGACTCAGAAAGTAAAAAAATTGGCCTCAAAAATCAGGCAGTTACCCTTGTGTCATTGTCCCCACTTTTTCCTTGGTGTGTTAGGAATTTGCTTGTTTTTCGGCTTCTATTGTCCTATTTATCATATTATTATCATTTATGATGATATTTTTTCCATCAATAATAACAGCGTGCTCTTCCGGCATATCGGTGAACAAAAAAGAATAAGTGAATTTGGCGCTAGACAAGGNATTGTGGACAAATACTATCGGCCATTATTTGTACGTTCAATTCAACTGCTATCGCACTCGCCCAACCGGATTTCTTTCATCCATGATCACTTGATAAACAAAGCAGGAGGTCTCAGAAAACAAAAAATGGCCTCAAGAATCTAACAGTTACCGTTGTGTCATTGTCCCCAATTTTCTCCTTGTAGTGTTGAGAACTTAGCTTGTTTTTCGGCTTCTATTGTCCTATTTATCATATTATTATCATTTATGATAATATTTTTTCCATCAATAATAACAGCGTGCTCTTCCGGCATATCGGTGAACAAAAAAGAATAAGTGAATTTGGCGCTAGTCAAGGGATGCGGCGCCTATAAGGGATGCACCTCGCATTCGACTTTCATTTAGAATTGTAGTGGCCCAACGAATGATTTTATGGATTATAAAATAACTTATGGTGACCAGCCGATGTACAGGTCGGTGCTTTCGACCCCTCAGACGAGTCTGGTACCAATTACCTGACCCCGTGAGGATGGAAGGCTTGTTGGTCTGCCAGTACCGCTCTGGATTTCCTCATGATAAAACTACATCGCCTAAGCTATCAAGTGGTTAAATAAGTTAACAAGTAGAATAATCAAGTGTTTTCGAGTTCTGATCATGTACCAATTCCTCCCATACCAATACTTTGACACTTTTGATAATAGTATTTTTAGCATTCCGATTTACTGATTTAGTTTTGCTTATTGTGGAATTTAATGAACTTTCCGGGGAAATTTGTGTCGCTCGGTGAAGAACGAGGGTCGCTCGGTGAAGAAGGAGGCTTCGCTGAAAAATTTTTGATGAAAAAAAGGCAAGTATTAGTTCAGCAAGGAAGGAAAGTAACCAAGTTCAAGGAACAGTGAGCAATCAAAGTGTTCCTTACAGTAGGATTCGCCCATCGTTGAACTTTTTTTGAATCTTTTCACTCTGAGCCTTCAGCCACGTTTTGTGTGTGAATATTTGGGTTGCCAGTTTGGAATGGCCATGGAAAGTATTTGTAGGCGTACTCTGAGAAAAGCTCGTGGATCTCGTAGGCGTCTGAGCATATTGCATGCAAGGTAGTGAAAAGTAGGGAGTTTGAGGAAGGTGTCCGAAAAGTACGAGTTAAGTTCGAAGCGAAGCCTTTTGTGACTTTCACTCATTACTCAGCAAACGTGTGCGCAAAATAGTTTGGGCGGAATAACGTCGGTGAAGATAAAGAGTAGTTTTGTACGAGTAGTTTATTGTAGGATATGAATAAAGAGGGATAGATGAAAGCGATATGAAACTCAGGCGCAGAAATTTTCTGTGTTCGATGCGAGGTTTAATCGAGAGAAAGTATCAGTAGATCTTCAATTAGAGATGCGCCACCCAATCACGTTTTTTGTTGTCCCACAGTGACCCTTGAAGTGTACTCGGGCTAATGAAAATGAATTTCTCTTCGATTGCAGCACCTATCAAAGTCGGTACATTTCCGAAAATTCTGCACCGAAAGGAAATTTCCTTTCATTTTGATGGGACGTTTATGCTTCCAGCGCACAATCAACTTTAATTCATTCAATGTAATCCATCAAAAGCGCATTCTCAGCGTATCGATGGAGAGCATCAGCATAATGTTTGACAATAGTCGCCCTACGTCCATACGCTGGGGAATCTACTTGATGATTACCTCCTTTCTGAGGATATTGTCGGAGAAACGTAGGATATCAACCCCTTACGGAAACTGGACCGAAAGTTTTTTTACCGTGCTGTTTACTGCTTTTATCTAGGAATAAGCCTTTTACCCATCCACTGACTACGTTTTTCATTCGTTAGCAGCTTACTCTCATGCTTGCTCGAATAAGCTGTTTCAATGGATTCATTTCGTTTTCATGCGATTTATGGTAAATTTCCGAAAACGAAAGTTCCGCTGTGAATACCATATTCGCAACAGAACCTGCGTTTTATTAATAGACGTTTTGATGGAATTTTGGTTCTTTCCGCAAAATTTCCTTTGCACAAGGAGAACTACTTGACCTTGACATTGCAGAGTGTGACAGTGTGGGACATTCCAGATGATAGATCGGTTTTGGTGCAAATTAAAAGGATTGGTCATCATAAGCAGCTCGCTACAGCTGGGCAATGCATGTCGACTGTAATTAAGAGCATCATGCTGATGAGTTGAGGTGTCTGCCAATGACCATTATTCAGACCAATATCCTCCAAAAAACATCGAGAGGTTAACAATCCGGATTATCTTCTTCAACAAGAAAAAATACTCGAAAAATCAGAAATTTGAAGCCATGAAGTGACAGGAGCTGATCTCAGTTCCCTTGTGTGTCATTTGGTCCGCTTCCATTTGATATACCAGCATTCCTACTGAGCAGTGTGCAGATTGTTTTTTATGGCTCTCAGGTATGTTCAACAGCAATTGAGCGATCTCAAGATGATGGAAGGCTTGGTTGGCTTGGGCGGGATCCGCGGAAAAGTGCAAAATGCATCTCACATCATTTCTTCGCTGCCTGTGAAGACTGTTACGATCTGCGATAATTTTTTTATTTAAAAGTCTGATCTTTGCTCATGTTTGGAACTTATAGGGAATCTCAACTTGGACAGGCTGAATGTACTTGTTTAAAAGAATTGATAGGTATTTTCTATGGCATCAACCGGTTCAGGCGGATCTGGTGTAGTGTCAGGTGGCGCACTATCACATACGCATAGTCACGGGTTTGAATCTAGGATCGATATCGGTCCAGGCTATACAACCCTCCCAACCCTCCGGGGTCGGTAATTGGTTCCAGACTCGTCCGAGAGGGTAAAACCTCTGACTTGTACATCAGCCATCCACTGCACATCATTGTGAAGGCTGCACACGCATTCAAATCGCCACTACGATTCTGAATGGGTTCCAATTCGGAGGCGCATCCGTCAGACGGGATTAATTGTGCCCGAAGACTTTATTCCTTGATATTCATCAACTGCTTCTACTCATTGTCATCATGTTTTTGAAGGCATCTTAATGCGCAGGTTCAGAAAAGCTTTAACTTCTGTAGAGGTAGCATTGGCCTCCGGAACCTAAGGAACCAGTCGGACTAGGCTTCATGAAGAAGTTTCCATCTGTTCAACTTTCAGCTTCAACGGTGATGCTGGTAATCCGGCTTCCTCCTTTAACGATGGTGAAATCGCAGTTAATCCATTGATGGTTTCAAAACGTACTTTATCCTACCTCTTACACCCTGAGCAATCCCATGTAAGCTTGCACTTTGGTGTTACTTATAATAAGTTTTCGTTTTATTACTACCAGTAAAGCCTGCTCCCATTAAGGATAGAGAGCTTACTGAATTCTTAATGTGCATCGCAGGAAGTGGGTCATGATATGGGCAGCTTTAGCGATGGATTCATGGTGGGAAAAATCTCCAGACCGTAGCATTTCCGTTGAGGTGAATCATCTGTAGAACAGTGGCTATTTACAGAAAAATCGACGTGGATCGGTGACTGTTATTACAACGTATGTCCTTACTTTGCTCTTGCTTTGAAGGGATTGGTGTCATTTTATTGTTTTTGTTACGCATTGACCGCTCTGTTCGTGTCCCTTCAGCTATGGTATTGAGATCCGTACTGAGATATGTTTTTTCTAATTAGTACAAATGAAAGTTCTGTTTGGATTTTTAAGGTCAGGGGCTCGCCTGATTAATTTAGTGAGACCAAATAACAATTTATTTTAATGTTTCGCTAGATAATTGTGTGTTGGAGATATCAGCTTATTTGCTCATCCTCTTAACCATTCACTCCATTCATCCAATCACTTCTTCGTGAAAACTTTTTATTCATTCAGCTCTATTTATTCACTGTCTCCCGTTGCTCCAATTGATTGGCTTCTCGTCATTCCATCCATGTTTTCCCAGCTGATAGCTCTCCAGGGAAACCTTTAGTTTCACCGTCCAAGGCATGTATGATGAATTCGGGCAGTATCAATTCGAGCTGACCGAGAATTTCTTACGGCAAACAGTCCACGTCATTAGTCAGGAAGCATAGATTATTTCAAACGTTTTCAGTTTTCGCCTCTTGAAATGCAGACGTGTCTTCTAGTCATCCTTTCGTTAGCATTGATGTCATCGGCATGGGGAGAATGGCGAAGGCATCAGGCAAGTGACAATTTCGGGATTGTTTTTTTTTTGTTTATTCCATGGTGTCCATGGTTTTATAACTGGGAATTCTACGTTGTATTAGGTATTATTCAGGAGAAAAACTAAGCTTATTACCGTTTCGTTTCAGCGAACTCATCCCTTATCTTTGTTACCTGTGAATTCAACATTGCGACTATGCCGAGATTTCAATAACCCAGTGGGATTCAAACAAATTTTGAAACCACTTCTAGTACCAAGAATAGTTGACACACCAGAGCATCGTCAAGTTGGAGAGGTAGGCGATGTTTCTGATTTTTTTCTAATTCTTAGGAGTNTTTCGAAGATCCAAAGATGGTAGCTTTCAGTGGGAATATAATAAAAGAATGCAGCGAAAATTCGGTAGTCAAGAGTGGGGGCAAAAACAGAAGTTACCCGGCTTCGTTGACAGTTGACTTACTTCGTTGTCTCGAAGTGTCAGCGAAGCCTGCGCCAGTGAAAATTATTAGGTTCACTGGGTTGGACCTAATTTCATCCGAGGAGGAGTGCATGGAAGATTTTCGAGGCTTCGTTGATTATGCTGAATGACGTCGTGATCTCATTTTGCTGAAAGCGCTCTACAGAAAAGTTGAATTGAGTTAGATGCCGTTCAACCCCTCAGAACGATCAGAATATTAGTAGAAGCCTTCTAGCTTGTACAAAGTAAATAACCATTACTCTCAGATAATCACATCTCTTTGTTCAATTCGTCTCCGGGGAAATAAATCAAGCTTCTTTGTCATCTTTGAGCTTTAGCTATTTTAATTATGTAAGTTTTTGGAGACCGTAATTATTACGTTATCTGACCTGAAGACTAAATAAATTGAACTTGGCTAAGTATCTTTGTTTTGTTTTCAAATTGAGACCAATTTAACTTACTATTTATTATTTATTCAGCTATTTATTTAGTCAGGATTACTGGATTTATTTGCAGTACATTTACAACTTCTTCAACCACCTTGGTTGGGCGACAGAATGGGACCAGTTCGAGGTAATTAGTTATTTCGCTTTCTATATTTTCATTGGATTTTCAACGTTATCTTAGTTTTATTTCCATTCAAAATTACTTTTCACGCCAGCGAACAAATTTTGATGAGAGTTTTTTGTAATTGGAATTTAATTTCAGGCGGCGACCCTTCCACCATTTCACCACCCTCCCCTCTTCCTCCCCCCGGTCACTGACAAAAATCAAATTTTACTACTCATTGCCAGAGAAAGTTTTCCGGCAGAGTGATTCTGAATGGTTGGATGATCCTGAATTCTGGTAAACACAGGGTTCAAAATAGGGACCCAGTCAAATCTTTATAAGAACGTTACGACGACTTTCTGTTTTTCTTTTCCTTTTAGAACGACACCGTGTTTTATGACAAAAATGATCGGAATTTTCGGGATTTCATCCAACTGATCGTTTTGCTAGTTGTGCGCAATTTTGCGAGCTTGAATGCAAGTTCAACAGGGAAGATTTGTGGGGTGATCAATCATATCAGTTCAAAAAACCCTAGATCTGCTAACAGGTTGCCCAGCAAATCTCTTGAGCTGTTAATATCTTTCGAAGATATTCGATCATTGTTCAACGATGTCGGAAAACTCGATTCATTCTTTACCCACGGTAGACGTAAGGGTACTGCCAGGCAAAGAAATTTGAATGTGCAGTAATGAGAACTGGGAACGACGAATCTTAGGCTGCGTTTTGTTCCCATTCGGCATTTAAACTTACATCTAAAAATTTGAAATTCCACGAATTCCTCTAAAAAAGTTCGGACGGTTTCAAGTATTCGTTAGTATTATTCATTAGTATACAATGGTATTGTATCTGCAGTTGCACGTAATTTGTAATGGCCGTTTCATGCAGTGACTGCAGCGATTTATTGAAAACCATTGAAACATCTGACCAATCATTACATTTTCTTTTTTTTTAGTAGTGAATAATCAAGCGTTTACTCAATCACGATGTATTGCAGGCAATTACTCCATATGGTTTGAAGACGTTCCGGAACTTGATAGTGACAAATGGTATTAAAGCACCGCGTCGATTGGTTCTGGCTTGTCATTATGATTCCAAGATTCTGCCAGGGTCAGTATAGTAACATTATGCATTTGTGAAAACGGTGACGGGCCTACTAGTCGATGATCATACCCGAAGCAACTGAGAATGGAGCGTAAAAAAGACGTAGGAATAAAATGATGAATCTAAACAAGTAATAAGTTTTCTGGTAAGGTACCTCTGTTGACTACTTTGATTAGGGCATTGGAATTCGATCGGTCGCTTCCGAAGGCCTCTAACAACAGCAACAGTTATCAAAAGCTCCACAGAAGCCTCTTCAAGCTTATCTGGGTCACTTTTGTTGATACAAATGAAACTTCTGTTTTTCGGAATGCTATAGTAAGGGTTATGTATGAAGTGGCTTTCCGACCCCACATACGCTTTGGAGATCGATTGCTGTCCAGAAAGTCGCTCATTTGCAACTCCCATCTATTCTGCCTCTGCTATGGGCTACCAGAATTCGGCGAGGGTCAAGAACTTTGTCTTGTACAGTAGCAGGCCTTGGGAAAACCCTAATATGCGATTGCTTTGGTGAGTGGAATTCAGTGCGCGCGAGCACTTCGAGGTGGAATCGGCCGGTGTCGAGAGCTTTTGATTTTTTTGTTAGATGAAAACTCCAGGACAGATCTGTAAGTTTTGGATGTGGAAAAACACAAAGACTTGATTTCCACGATATTGACATAATTTTCACCAGGAAAATCCAGGGAATGATAGTTTTCAAACGTTCCTTACTACGGAGGGAGCTACTTCCTGACATAATTTTCACCAGGAAAATCCAGGGAATGATAGTTTTCAAACGTTCCTTACTACGGAGGGAGCTACTTCCATTCCCGTTCCTTACTACGGAGAGGGCTACTTCCATTCCCTGGATTCATCAATGCTAAATACAAGAAGCCCCTGCGATATTGGAAGATCACTTCGTCGATCATATTGTTGCATTCTAGAAGCGCTGGCCCAACTCATAGAAAGTCATACATCGAGCAGAAAGTCATGCATTGAGTTTGTGTTGATGTTGTATAGTTTTGTAGTGTATTGTTACTAACTTAACTGTTCCA